AGATATGAAAAACTGCCGTCTAAATCTGTCTCGACGCATTAACAAAAAATGTCGGGAAGGTGATTTTACTAATATATCTAACTCTTACCCCAAATAAACTAACCCTAAACTTAATTACAATTAAAACTTCAAAATCACATAGGTACAAGGCTATAGCGATCGGTCCGTCGTTATGCACAAATCTGTTATACACAATCAATTATCACAAATCTTTGTTTACACAGATCAACCCAACCCAATCCAACTTTTCATATTTTTTATTATTTTTTTTTGCTTCATACAAAAAATGAATTTTATTTTGATATATGTGAAAAAAATATTAGTGTGATGATTTTTACAAATAGGAACCTTCTAACTTTAGTCTATATATGTCCTAAACTGACCCTTACCTAAAATTAACATTAATGTAAATTGGCGATAGACACATCCCTCTTTTTTTAGATGTTTATCATCCAACATTTTGGTACGTGCATACAATTCTAATTTTATGCATACGTAACACCTTAAAAATCTATTAGTTATCGCAAAGAGGTATCTTTCTTTTTTTCCCTTTATTTACCTTTTTCTTTCTTCATATTCTTCATTTTCTTTTTTCGATTTTGCTTTCTTCCTCTTCGATTCTTCCTTTTTTCACCCTTCTTCGATTCTTCTTTTTTGTCGACTTTCTTTTTCCTTTTTTCACCTTTTTCGTATTTTTTCTAATTTTTTTTTTGTTTTTTTTTCGATTATTTTCGATTCTTTCTTTTTTAGTTTTTTTTTCATTTTTTTCAATTTTTTTTTTTTCGATTATTTTCGATTTCTTTCTTTTTTAGTTTTTTTTTGGTTTTTTTTGGTTTTTTTTCATTTTTTTTCGTTTTTTTTTTTATATAGATTTGACCCTGTTAATAGGAACCTGAATTTCCTTGCCATCTATTTCTACAATTGCCATGCGATTGTTGGATACCAATTCTTTAAACATGCCTTGTTGCGAAAATATCGGTTGAAATTTTCGCTTTCAGATTTGTTAGTTCGTGTTATGATCAGGTGCAATAGCGATCGTGATTCCGGTCTTGATTATATTGTTTGAAGACTTTTTTTTATGAACACTACCTTGATTGCAAACCTTTGCACAATATTTTTCTAGTAACACATTGACAGATTGTTGGATTTGCAATACCTGTGAAACATGCTGATCAACAATCTCAGGCGTGGTAACAACATCTTTACAATCATCCTCTTCAGGAATATTCAGCGATTTTTCAGGGATATTATAGACACAATACATCTTCTAACCAAACATTACCTCATGTGGTATATGGCAATGTGACTCATGCGTAGAAGAATTATATGATACAGCAAAGGTATCGACAATACTAATCCAATCTTTCTATTGTAATTGACCATTTTTATCCCATAACATTTTGGTAAAGCCACGACCAACAGTTTGGTTAAGATGTTCAACCTGGCCTTGTG